ATTCTCTTGCCCTTATTATTTATTTGATCTTCTTGCCTGGAGGCCTTAAGAACTTTTTCTTTAATTAAACAATTTTACTAGGGTCTTAGAATTGATCTTTCAGGTTTTTAGGTCCTTTCAATATGTAGGCTCAGATTGTCTTGTGATTCCAGAAATTTTCCTTGGATTGTTTTTATAAATCTTTCCCTATCCAATTGTTTGATCTGTTCTCTTAGGGATTTCAAGTATCGTATATTGGATCTCCTTTGTCTTCCTTTATGTCACTTTTTTCACGGACCCTTCTTACCTTTCCTTTTATCTTATATTCATTCTCTTGATTATTTTCTCTTTCTTCAGTGCTCTGTATAAAATTTCCTTTGGACACCATACAATGTAAACTTCGTTTCCAAAGTGCCTTGTTTTTCTTTTCTTCCTGAGTTCAACCCGCCTTTTTTTTGCTGATTTTTTTATACATTTCAGTTTTTAATCCTTGCATGGCTTACTCATAGTTGTTGAGAGAATTGAATTCAATTTGGAGTATTTCTTACAGTTCTGTCGGTGATTGTTATTTCGAGAGGGTGGGTTTTATCAGTTGGGGTGTTTTGATTTTTATTTTGTTTTCTTCACATAGTTGCTTTTTTGGTTCCTTCCGTTTATTCATTTTATAAATTTAATGTGGCTTACAATTTCCCTAGTTCATTATACACCTCTACAGGTGAAATATACCTATGTGCCGACTTACAAGTCTGGAGTGGGATGTGGGAAGTGGGTGAGGTTAAAATGATGGGGAGATGAAGTCGTATTGTGTTATGGAGATAGGACAGAAAATACAAAATGTTTCTCCTTTTCCCAAAGCCTTATATAATCTAAGCGCAAAGAAAGTACTCATTTCCTGTTTATTGAACTGTTTGGGGACTTCGGGCATGTGTACACTGGCCAGACTTCCCATATGATACGAGGCAGAATTTCAAGCATGTTCCTGACTTGATGGCTAACAGTTCAGTCACCAGAAGGTCAAGAGAGTGACTTGAGACTTTGTTATTCTGTACCCGTTTCTAACTAACAAAGACAAATTGGTTATGGAATTAAAGGTGTCAGAAACTTGAGAGAAAGTGTATACCTGTCAGTGTCACATTTGTGAGAGCCAGGGAGAGCTCAGCACAGTCACACATGCACTCTACACTATGGAAAACAGATTTTAATAGATGTGGGGTGGAGGAGATGGTGTTAGGAAATGGCTTAATTTCATGCATCAACTGAGGAAGGGAAGATGGTTCTAAGGAGAATTAGAAAGTCTTCACAAATGACCCAAAGAGAAAGAGAAAGCAATAGAATAAGCCAATGCAGTTACCCAAGATTCTCTTTGATGTTAAACATTTTAAAAAGAATATTCCCATGGAAGCCAGGTTAGTGATTTACAGGGAGGATGAAGGCGACTTCTGAGGTTCTGAGAGTATTGGGTATTTTGATCAGGGTGCTAGTCACAGGTGTGTGTTTCCATTGTGAAAAGTTGAACGAGGGATATGTTAGTTTATTATACTTGTCTACCTATATGTTATACTTCAAATTAATTGTACCACTGTTTTTAAGATTTAGTATATTTCCTTCAGGGCTTATTTTTTTAAATGCTTAGATTTACATGTTAGTTGTATTAAAAAATTGTACTTTGCTTTATTCATTTATCTTCTTATGCATACTATTCCATGTTATTATATGGCCCTCATAATGATTTCTGTTAACAGCCTTGTAATATTCCACTGTGATAGACAGACCACAATTTTCTTTATTGTGCCTGTAGGGCTAGATATATATGTTGCTCTTCACTGTCATATTTATTAAAAACACTGGAACCAACATCTTTGAATATAAAGGTTTTTCTACATTTAAGGATATTCCCTGAGAATAGATTCTTAGATGTAACAAGATTAGATTGACTGTCTTTAAAGTCCAGATACCTATTTATAAATTATGCCCAACAGTGCTGGCCTCATCAAGCCCTTGCCCACTGCTATATTCGATAGTCATGTGCAGAATTGGTGTGTTTCCTAATATAGTGTTTGCAAAATCTTTTTTCTTTGTATTAACATACAGTTAGAGATCCTTCTGACCATCTCTAGTCTCTTGGCGCCTCTCCTATTCTATGCAATTTCTCAGTGATGATCATTGTGGTGCTCTTGGAGGTCATGCTTTCTTTAATCATCTTAGGCTTCAGATCACTGATGCTTTAAACCAAAGAACAAAAATGGAAGCCAATGGGTGTGAAGAACTTTGCTCTTTCTCCAAACATGAAAACAAAACAAAAACTAGTTTGCTTGCTTTTATCACCATTTTAAAGTTTTAACTCATTTGTGGCCTAAGTTTTTTGTTTTTTGTTTCATTTTGTTTTTGTTTTTGCATCACATTTAGAGAGTTCTTTATATTTCTTCATGTTTCTCAGTCATTTTTCCTTCTTTCCATCTTCTGAATAGTTCTTTAAAAAAAATACCTTTTCCTTGAAATATAGCATACTTCAAATATATAAACACCTCAAATGAATACTTCATATATTTGAACTGTAATGTGTCATTTTTTAAACATTTCTGCAGTTTCCATTTTATGAAATATAACAATTATTTATTTGAAAAAGGAACATTTTTGGCATAAAAAGTAGAAAGAAAAGGAAACACTTGTTCCAAAGAATAAGTCATGTAAACCCAACCTTCTTTCTTTAAGAGAGTTCTTGGGCTGATAGATTAGGGAAATGAATAGACAAAGTGTCAGTACCTGAAGTGAATTTGACCCTATTCTCAAGCTGTTTTTGTGGAAAAATATAGGTAGCACCTGAGTGTATAAGCAGTTGAGGAGATGTGTAACTAGTTAGATGAACCAACCAAAGATTCTCATGAACAGAGATGAATGCCAGCCTGGAAAAAGGATCCGAGTACATGCCACGGAGCTCTGCCATTGACATTTTCCAGGTTACTTCTTATAGTCATTATCTGGATGATGTGCGAGAAAAATTATATCCAAAAACTTGCAGGTGGTGGGGAATATGATGATAGGCTGTAGTAATCGGAGGAATCAAAGCAGATGGAAATCAACAGTGGTATGTATGTCTCCATAGTTGGGTCCCAGGAATACAACCACATTTATATATGGAGAAGTGGGCAGATTTTTTTTTTTGATGGAAGGTCGATGACACATTTATTGTGATCAGTGAAAACCTGGGATGTCGGCTATGTTAATAATAGTCCAGTATAAGTAAGGAAAATAGAAAATAGCGATGACCTAAGTAATCATGTATTGACAGGACCACATGTAGACAGTTGCTTCATGTTCTAGTCCCTTCTCATTTAGAAGGACAACTGAAGAATGTCCTAGGATGAGTAGCTAGGATAGTTCAAAGGCCTTGAAACTCGTATCATATGAGGAATTGTTGAAGAATAAGAATGTTGATGGACCTGAAAACCATCTTCCAATATCCAGACATCTTTCCTACACAAGCAAGGGCAGACTTTCTGTGGTCTGAGGAACAGAATCAAGACCACTGGGGAGTCATACTTGGGTTTAATAGAAGTGACAATTTCTGGCATTCAGAGAAGTTCATACGTAAAATTGACTCTGCTGTAGATACTACCATTTATTCTCTACTTCCGAATGTATGGAGGTTCCATTTCCTCACCCCCCCTCACCCCCATGTTAGGCATGGTCATATGACTGGTTCTAGCCAATGAAACCGGAGTCAAAGAAAACGTGTTGCTTCTGAGACAGAGCATGTATTGGGTTATCGGAAAAGTCATGACGTATTTTTTTCTATGTTTTTCATTGCAAAAATGCATCATGACTTTTCCAACAACCCAATAAGTTAAGACTCTTCAGCATTCTTTCTCCTGCCACAGTAAACACTGAAGCCTTGTGTTAAAATGGAAGTACCAACCTTGGTCTATGAGTGACTACAATGACAAGAGTCTCCCCCAACCACCACACTACACCTGCCCCCAGACCCAGCCACGCACCTACATTAGGCATGTAGTTTGGACCACTGAAGTTTGTGGGTTTTATTACCTTTGCATAACCCTTTCTATCCTAACGTAAGTACCTTCAAGATGCAATAGTTCCTCCTGAGTGAGCATTAGCAAGACAACCACTGGATTCTTCAGACTCACCTGTATTGCATTCTTGGCCTTTTATTTTTGTTGCTACACTACAAATTCAGACTACTGCTAGGGGCATAACTTAGTCATCTGGAATTTTCATCTTGTTCCGGGACCTCCTAGGAGATGACCCCAATAAAATAGGCTAAGCTGATTCTCTTCCCAAGCACACTCTTCTGTAACTCAACCGCATGGCCCAGCAACACTGCTAATGTATGGTTCCCGTCCACTTGGGAAAGAGCCAGCAATAAATAGGTAGTTCACTCAACAAAGCTTTGATCGCCACACAAACATACACATGCAACATTATCCACGAAAACTGTGAGGTCTACTAGAGATCTCAGAGCCAGAGTGACTTTTGAACATGAACTTTGCAATTTGATTCTTGCACATTCATATTGACTGGTCTATTGCCAAGTGTCTGTGTCAGCCAGTACATATAGATGCATTGTTTGCCTATAACAAAGTTTCCCAAGGAAGCTTTTGGTACCACTTACTAATCCATGGGCTCTCTCAGGAACCCATGCAACTGACGGAAGCACACTGCATACCAAAATGGACCCACTTCATGTTATTGCTAAAGCGGTTCTGTGCTGGACAGTATCTGATATGTTTATGAGGTGGTTCTGTCTGGGGAAGAAGCTTATGAGGTGATGGGAGCCAGGAAGTGAGAGGACTGAAGCATGTACCTCGCCTCAAAAGAAATGAAGAAATAGAATTAAAAGGTGATTCTAATGGCGGAAAAATTGAAAAGGACAAGTTTAAAATTATAATTAAAAATACACATGCATACCTATAGATACAAACATATATGTATATATTTTTTTCTTTATGTAACAAACCAAACCCACAACTAATTAACTGGAGCTTCACTTTTGTTGTTCACAGGAGACCAAAATCAACTGTGTTCGTCTGGCTACGAAAGGTATGTTGGCATGTTCTTGTCTGTCTTCAGCCATTCTTTAGCTGTTTAAGTATTTCTCCCTCTAGCCACACAGAGCGATTTAGGCAACAGTGACTTAAAATAACAAGAAAGAATTGTTATTTTCATTGGGGTCATTTGTATCTAGGTGTTAATATATACCCAGTTGTGTACATATTAATAACACAGTGCCTAAAGCATAGTAAGAGCTCAAAACATAATTGTTGAATCAATGGATGGATGGATGGATGGGTGGATGGATGGAT